CCAGAGAAAGTCAGATAAACAGACAGACAAGTGAGAGTGAAAGTGAGAATTTACCCCTCAGGTGGGATGACCACACCAAGATCTCCTCTCCTCTAGTCTCCTCCTGGGATCTTGGGCACACACATGCATGCACACACACACACACACACACACACACACACACACACACGGCCTGATTTTCAAGCCACTGGGTCCGGGACTCAAACCATGTCGACCATGGGGGAGTCTGGCAATACAACGCCCTGCCGTCTGCTGGTCCCCAGAAATTTATTTATGCTCTGTCTTGATGTATCTTTGGTTTTATCCTGTTTGCGCTTTAATCAGCCTCTCAGAGTTGTATGTTTATGTCTTTTTCCAAATTTGAGAAGTTTGAAGACATTTCTTTAAATATTTTTTAGACCTACACTCTTCTTTCCTGCTGGAACTCTGATAATGCAAAAGTTAGCTCTTAGGTTACTGTCCTGTAGATAACTGAAGTTTTGTCCATTTTTTAGTCTATTTTCTCTCTGTTGTTCAAATTAGGTAAATCGCATCAGTCCGTCTTCAGGTTCACTGATTCTACTCTCTGTCATCTCTGATTTTTTACATTTTAGTTGTTGTATTTTTAGTTCCCAAGCTTCCTTCTATTATTCTGTTAAAGATTTCTAATTTAATTCCAAAATAATTATTTTTCAGATTTTTCTTTGTTTTTTTCCTTTTCTTACTGTTTATTTTTTATGACACAGAGAGCTTTTTAAATATTAATTTTGGCAAATCTCTCAGCCTTTTTTCTCTGTAGTTTCTACCTCTCTTGGGTTGTTATGTATGCCTGCCCTGCCTGGAATAGAATTCTTGCACAATTATTTCTTTTAGTTCTTTAATATTTTATTATTGTGCATTTATCTCTTTAATCCACTTAAAAGTTTATTTTAGATTAGAGTTCTGATGGTAATATAATTTGTTTTCCAAAGTGTTAAACACATTCTTTTTCCATTTGTTAAATAAACTCACTGATGTGAGTAGCTCTCTGTATATTCACGGATGTGGACTGCTTCTGACAAACTTATTACCTCTGTTTCCAAAGCAGTGAAATCTATAGTGATTCTCAAAATAATAATAATGATGATAATAAATTTTTAAAATAAATAAATAAAAGATGAGAACTTGAGAAAAATTACCAAGTGCTATATAAAAAAAGATAACACATCAAAAAAATCTTTTATAAAGGAATAAGTTGCACAATCTATTACAGAGAAAACAGAGCTAATGGGAGGACAATAATTTAAAATAAGCATAGGAGCCAAATGATGGCATAGCAGTTATATACCTAGACCCACATGGGAAAGGTCCTAGGTTCTTGTCCCAGGACCTCCCTGGTCATGCATGTGACCATTATCGGGCTGGCTGAGTCTGGGAGTGGATCATGGACCCCATTAGAGGTGCCTGTCTCTCTGTCTCTCTATATGTATCTGTCTCAGTCTTTCTCATGAAATAAATAAATACATTTTATGCATGTGACCATTATCGGGCTGGCTGAGTCTGGGAGTGGATCATGGACCCCATAGAGGTGCCTGCCTCTCTGTCTCTCTATATGTATCTGTCTCAGTCTTTCTCTCTTTCTCATGAAAGAAATAACTACATTTTAAAAAAGTAAACAAGATGAACGTAAGAAATACTGTCAGAGAGATAAGAGACACTTTTAGAGGAATGAAACAGGGGGAAGCACTCAATTAGAAATATCAGGGGACCAGCAGGTGGCGTGGTTAAGGTGCTGGACACTTCCACATGGCTGACCATGGTTTGAGTCCCAGACCTGGTGACCTGCTTTCTCACTTTCCCTCTCTTTCTTTGTGTGTCTCTCTCTGGTCAAAATGAAGTAAATGAATAAATAAATAAAATTAAATAATTTTTAAAATTAGAGATATTAATTTTGAAAAAGATAATTGTTGAAATAAGGAACCCAGTGAATGAACCTACTAGCGGAAAAATGAACTGGTGAAGAAAAGATAGAGTTAAGGAATACTCTCCAAAGGCATTAAGAAGAATGAAATGACAAAAAGCACGAGAGAAAATTTCAGAGGTGTGGAGGATAGTAATGAAAATGGAAATATCTCCTTAAGGAAGTCTCAGAAGGTGAAAAAAAAGAAAAAAAGAAAAAGGGTAAGTGCAGGTGAGGAACTATTTGAAAAACTGACGTTGAGAAATTTCTCAGAATTTTATACATATCACATATATATATATAACATAAGCTTGAACATGTTCAGAAAGTTCCAAATAGAACTGATCATTAAATACCATACATTAGGGGCCAGCAGGTGGTGTGGATATTAAGGTGCTGGATCCCACATGGCCCACTGTGCAGTTTGAGTCCCAACCCAGTGGCCTACAAGATAGGCTGCCCACATGTGCATGCATGCCCGAAATCCTGAGAGGAGAATGGAGGTGAGGGGACTGAAGCATGGTTATCCCCTCTGAGGGTGACTTCTTACTTTCCTTCTCTGTCCCTCTCCCTCCCCTCCTCCCCAGCAGGCATACACATTTGATAGTAATACTAAAAATAAATAAATTAATAAATATCCCACATTAAAATGCATTGTAACAAAAATTTCAAAGAGAACATTCTAAAACATTCCAGAGAGACAAAATAGATGAGTTAAGAGGAAGAAAATTCAGATTGATATCAGACTTTTCCATTACAAAACTAGAGGTAAGAAGATAATGTCATAGTATGTTCAAATTTCTTCATTAAAAAAACTCTTTTAGATATTAATTTAAGACATAGAGCTTATTACAAGTATGAAAATAGGGACTAATCAAGAGAATTTTGAGGGCCAGGACATTCAGATGAAAGAATTGAAAGATTATAGCTAAGTGTTAACTCTTACTTGAGCTGATGAAGAAGTGATTTTTCTTCAGCACATTCTTTTTTTTTGGGGGGGGTGTTTCGCTATAGGGCGCGTGCACTCGCCAGACAGAG